TAAAATACATATCCATAAATTTCCATTCATTCACACAGCTTTTTCTTTGCACAACTTCATGTGTTTGTTTTTGATTCATGCAGTTTGTAACTGCATTATTCCTTTTAGGCATGTATTATAATGTTATACTGTATATGCTATCACAAGTATGGCTTTTGCAGTTTTCTTAAATGTTTGTAATAAAATACATATCCATAAATTTCCATTCATTCACACAGCTTTTTCTTTGCACAACTTCATGTGTTTGTTTTTGATTCATGCAATTTGTATGAACATTATTCCTCTTAGGCATATATAAACAGTTTTATTCAGTTCACAACTTTATGTATGTGTTTTTGATTGAAGCAGTTTGTAAGTTCATTATTACTTTCAAGCATGTGTAAACATTCATGCATAATATTATTTCCTGATATTTGTAAATTATTTTCCCTTTCTAAATGTTATGAATAAACTTGTTTTAAAGTTCTCATGTTTCTAATGTTGTATAATATGGTTTAAATTTACCTCAGTTTAGACAATTAGAATAAAACAAATTCAGTAGGCATAACTATGTATTGGCCTACAAAATACAAATGTAACTATAATACGAGTATACTAAAAATTACAGTGATATTTCGGCTACTGCACATTGCATATGTATATAAATATACATTTTACTATTTACTCACAAATGCTCAAATTGTAGTTATATTTCTTAAAACATAGAAAGCAAATGAGAAATACACTGAAAAACAAAGATTTCGAGTATAAAACCGTGTTACGAAATGTTGCACTCGTGCATCAGGCATGTTAAGCCTTGCCATAAGCCTTGTTTATTCTCGGTGGAGGTGTAGAGATACTAATTTTTGTAGGCTTCAAATATTAACTTCTGAAGATCAAAAATTATCAAATTACTGTATTAGTACATTGAAAATCCCTGTAATTTAGTTGAGTCTCTAAATAAACTATATGTGGGTTAAACAAAATCCCACTCCTATCCAGAGTGACGACTTATTCATCACACTTCAATAGTTTTGGCAAAATTATTATTATATCCTTCAAGCTATTTATAAACAACTGTAAGAGTTACATAGAGGTGAAAATGTTCTTTCTATTGGTTATAAACAGGAGCTAATTAGTAGTACGCAGGACTAGACAACAGCTTTCAAAAAATTGGTACAGTGTGAGGAGCCACTCTAGCAGACTCCCTAAAAATATTGATATCTCAGCAAATCATAAAAGAGTGAGGTTCTTACTTGTCTATATCTCAAATTGAGTTCCTAATTTGTTAACTACTTGTATATGTTGTACGATGGGCATAATAAAATGGCAAGTGAACAATAAGACAACTGGATGTGTTATGTGACACACAAAAATCAATATTTAACACTTTTTCTTTATATTTCCTATTAAATTAAGAAATTAAAACATATAATATTAAAATTTAAATTATAAGCTACATTTTAATGCCAATTTCATTGATGTAAGTAGTAAAAATGTTATTTAATAAAATTTTGAAAAGAATGCTCCAAAACATCGTGACACATGTACTTTAACCTACCTAGGGCGAAAGGGTTAACTATTTTTTCCCTTGACCTTAACCACATCACAGCTAGCAAAGGTACGTATGCAACATGTGTAATTTATCTAATTTAATCTGAAAGCTTTTCAAAAATTAGTTTCACTTTTGAGTGAACAGAATTTCCTAATCAATATAATTTATGTTTTTAAATATTTGTTAATCTGAAATACTTTCATTACCTCACCCCAAAGGCAATCTCAAATTCTAAGTCTGGCTTGTTAACAACTGTAAAACTCATAGAAATAAGAAAATGGATAAATTAAGGTGAGTCAGAATCCTTCTAGATAAGTATTTCTCAACCATAAGTCCACAAACCAACAGTCAGTCAGTGGGATTTCATGAAAATAAATGAAAAATTACAGAATATTCCTATGTAAACTGTAATGGTTTTTCATTTTACTTGTATCTTAATGGTACACGACAGTTTAAAGATGCAGCAACCCAATCCCTGGTATCAAAAAGATTGAATTGAGGATTACTTTTCTAGATTATACACAAGAACCCTTCAGTTTCATAGTGGTTGGAGGTTGAGAAGTTTTTGTTGCAGAAAGACATACACACACACAGGATATTTTGTACAGAGACTTCATTAAAAAGTTTTGTTAATATGTTTTCAGTAGAAAACTAAAAGAAAAATGCTGGAAGTTTATAAACAAAACTTTTATGACATCACATTCATGTAAACTTCAAGTTAAAACTATGGAACATATACTATACATAAGCAATCAGAATAACACTGAATAGGATCTACAGCGATAACATTTTCTCGTAGTTTTCTTTTATACTTCATTTAATTTTAGAAATTTTAAGTATTTTTCATTCTCTTACGGTAATTATTTTGTACATTTAAATGGAAAAGAATGAGATATTCAAAATCACCGTTACAATGGATGCAACAAAGACATACTTAAATTTTAAAAAGTGTTTATAATTTTTGGATTTGTCAAACATCCGACAATTACTTAAAGGACTAGTATGAGATAAGAAATATATATTAGGGTTTTCCTAGATAACACATTTTGTTTTACAATTAGCTAATTTTAATGCATCTAAAAAAAAGAATCATACAAATGAAACTGACAGCATAACTATGCATATAAAATAAATGTTCATCCAATTTGCAAAAGATTCTTTTAGCCCCCTCACTACGGATCTTCCTATGGTCAGGAGTTAAAGGGCATGTCAGCATGTTTGTAATCTTAGATTCAAAATTTTATTGAACTACTATTTTATGAATGTATGCCAAGAAGTTTGGTATCAAATTGTAAATAATAATCCAAATTTCAGTATTATACATTAGCTACTTTCTTAATTTGAACTAAATATTAAAATAAAATTCCTAACTATCAATGTCACATGGTATGTTAAATACAGCTTTGGTTCAAATTAATATGTTTGTGATGTCCAAATACAAAGTCTATAGTTTCTTTCAAATCAGAAACTCAAATTACCAATGTTGGCAAGCTGGAATATAAAATAAGAACCTCCTATCTTTCCTATTTGCTGAGATATTGTTACATTTATTGAATCAAACACAGTGGCTCCACTCCACCCACCTCTTATCATTTTTTGGAAATGCTTACACTGGAGGTTATAAAGATTTTGCATGTGAAATGTGTCAATTTTCTGGTGTATTAAAGTATTTTTAATCTTAAGATCAAAATTACTTTGCATGTTGGATAGTCAACATTTGAAAAGAAAAATGTATGAGCAAATCATTATTTAAAAGAATTTTAAAACTTACTAAAAAATCTAATATTTTGTATACTAAAGCTTTGTAATGTTTACTGCTAATCTGCAAATTTTCATGAAGGTACAGTTCCTATATTAAAAGTTACAGTTTAAAAACTATAAGAAGTGCAAAATGATTATGAGGTCAATCCTTGGGACTGAACCCATAGTGAGAGTTAAGGGCAAAGAATGTGTGTTAGATTTGGAACACTTTTCCCTGAAGTAACAATAAACAAAAAAATCTCAGTAGCAACAACACACATGAATATATTACTTTATGTATTATAAACATCACTTAAAGCCTTACTACAAACAGAACCAAACAAGCCATTTTGTTGAAAAAAAAACTTGCATAATGGTGTGAGAAAATACTTACATAAGTGATTGAACTAAACAGAATTATGAGTTAATAATGCTTGGAGATGGTTTGAATGGGTAATGAAGAAAAACTTTAATACAAGGTTAACATAACAGCAAATCTACAATGTTTCAACAAGGTTTTGTCATGTCAAAACGTTGTACATTTGCTGTTATGTTAAACTTATATTAAAGTGTTTCTTCATTACCCATTCAAGCCATTTCCAAGCATTATTAGTCTGAAAGTGGGTTCCTCATCATCAAATTAGAATTATGAATTTGTTACAGTGTTTGGATCAGAAAGTTATTTTGCAAAGAAGTTTTTACACAAACAAATTTATGGTGTTGAAGAAACTAGCATAAAACATTAGCTGAAATTAACCTAAAAATAGAAGTTCATGGAGCAAGCACAGCAAGGTTTTGTTCAACAAGCATTTATATGATGGTGTGTACAAAAAATGCTTACCTAAAAGCCCTTGGAGCGAAGAGAGGCATAGTTTTATTAAAAAAACCTTTATACGAGGGTGTGAATGACATATTTGGAGCAAAGTAGATGGCACTGCTGTTGATGAATCTATTAGCAGCAACATCAGCAATAGTGGAAAGGAAATAATACATGAATCCTGGCTCTTCATTATCTGGTGCTTTTTGAAGAATGTAACTACAAAATGCAATTATTACACATTACAAAACCTTATATAATTTCATAAAATGCTCTTCTGAGCTAAAAGTATTATATAATTATTTGTACTAAATTAAAATAATTTAAATATTCAGTTTGTTAAAAACAATTCTAATTTAATATTTTCCACTACTCTTTTAAAAATGTAATATTCTCTCTAACACAAAGTAAAAAGAGGCTTATTGACCATCCTTTAATTGTAGAAAAACCAATAGCATGAAAGATACAGGTCCAAATTTTTCTGTCATAATTCTTCAAAATAATCTTTAGCATCTTAAGTGGCAGCTCAATCTTAGTTTTTAATTATTATGACTGAAATAGAATAGACTGTTAAATTCAGACTACATCAAATTAATTAGAGACTCACCAATTAAAAATTAATTACTGAAGATTATTTTAGGCTGCAGAATATACTTATGTTATTTCCAATATGCTTTTTTGCAGATTCTGTCAATATTTTTTTTTGACTGATTTATTATTAACCAACAGGACCGAAAGTGGAGAGTTGGGTGATTAAAACAATTAATCAAGTACTTATGAGTTTGTTGTTTCCCCATCATCATTAGTATTACCTATTATTACTGTTTTTTATTATTTCAACACTGAGTTCATTAAAATTACAAGACAATTGGTTATGGTGAAAACAGCCAACAAATTGAAATTAAGGTTTCTTGTTATTACCATTTTTCATAATTCCAACAACCCAATAATCAAAGTATTGCTATTGTGATTTTTCACTATTTTAGATTAGTTTAAGTTTTTTCAATTTAAATCATTTAGTCACAACTCACAAAAATAATTAACTAATAAAAATTAGACTTTCTAATTATTATTACTTTTAATTACTCCAACTATTCAAGTAATCAAAATGCTGTCACTGTGTTTGTTGTTAAGTGCAATCATTCATGATGGGTTATCTCCTCTGCACACACATCACAGCCTAGTGATTCAGTGGTGTTATATTTGTTTCTTTCTTATGGCAAAGCTACTAAGGCTATCTGCCACTGTCCCTAATTTTGAACTGTTGACTACAGGAAAGGAAAGGCAAATGGATGGCAGCCACCGCCACTAAGATTTGGATTACTTCAAAGTTAAATAAAGTATGAATTTACTGTGTAACTCTATTCTTTAATGTTGAATAATGTGTAGAACATATTTTATAAAACTTTATTCATTAGTATTTAATAAACTATAAATATACATTTCTAACTGCATGTGTTAGGTTCATACCACACACCTCATACTTTTCTGAATTTGTATTCCTGTGGAAATTGTGACAGGTACCAGCAAATTTGAAACTCACAACTTTCTGATCACTGACTAAGCAGTATTCTTAATCCATTTAATCATGTGATACATTAGAAATGTAAATTTACAAACTGATTTACAATAAATAATAATGAGCTCAAAATACCAACATTTGCAAATTTTAATGGTATAGTATTTATGTTATTAAGGCCACAAATAAAAAACACAATATATAAATATGTTTATAGATTGTATTTTATGTCATACAGAATTCTAATATAAAAACATACTCTATAAATAATTATACATAAAGGCAATGACTGCAGTATAGCTTTAATGAGACCTAAGGGGGGAAAAGGCCCCAACCTTAAAAGTTTGATGCCTTTTCTTTCAAAAAATATCCAGAGTAATCACATTTGTATCTATATCAATCAGTGACATCTTCAACCATTATCTATGGGACAAAGTTTTCTAATAAAATATAAAGGGAACTTTGAATTAATCAAGCAAAAAGTCCATACAGTAATAAATATATATCAAAATATGTTGAAAAATAGTTATGTTCTTATTTTACCCTTATTATGTTAATTTGTGCCTTACTGTATAATTTATTATTTCTTGCTTTCCAGTATTTTTCTATGAAATGTACATTTTTTATTTCCTAATACACAGAATCTGATTTTTCTTACACTATATTGGTTTCAATTTATTGACAAGAACAACACCAGTATCCTTTCTTGAGTAACAGTTTCAAAAGTACAATCTAAACAATACTATCCAATTTCTTAACGTAATTTGAAATATATATATATGTAATAGTAAGTTGGTTGGTTGTTTTTTGGCAAAGCCATATGGGCTATCTTATGTATACTCTGTGAGGAATGGAGCCCCACATTTTAGAATTTTAAGTTCTTAAACTTACTGATCTTCTACCAAGGTAGATAATATTAACTGTAGAAGCACTTAGTTCATTACATTTGGATATACTTTAGTTTATCAGCCAGTTCTGTCTTTCCATGGAAAGTCATCCAATGCCATTCAGATTGAGCCCAGTAATGGTGGACTGCATGCTTGAATATAGCAAATGAAATAAAAGTATATCCATGTATACAAGTAGTGCTCCATCACTTAGTTCAGACAATGTCTAATGTATTGACACTGTTTAATGAAGAAATGGAAACCATACAAGATAAACTGTTTCATACCAAAAAAAAAAGGAGACAGCATTAAATTGGAATGTTATCTGCCAAACAACAGAGGAAGTCTCAATATTGCTTTGTCAAATATTTGTCTGGATACTGTAATGGTCACAGGCACACTAAGTAAAAATTAAAGTAGACATTATTAGAGATAATGTCAGGGTTGTGCCAACTGCACCACGACTGAAGGCACTGATTGATGATTATGCTGACAATGTAGACATGTTTGTGTGATCAAATGGCTGATTGGGTAGAACAACAGTGACTCAGCACCATACAGATGCATGCAATACCTGTTAAATAAAATAACTGCTATGCTGACTTCCTTGGAGCAGTAGGTGGAATCGCAATCACTGACATACAATTGATTTTACGGGAAAAGTCAAATACTCTATGGAAAGTGCTTGGTCATTTACAACAGTGATTGTCAGGAAGACAAACTGTAGGCCTAGGTTTTACGTTGTCTTCCAGTAGACAATACAATAACTCACGCTGATGCTTTCCCCTTTACTATAGATATATGAATGTATGGGCATGTTAGAAGGCTCCTGTTGGTTTAACATCTTGGATCTGGCATCCATAATACTGACAAATTGAAATAGATGGTGAAAGCAAGAGTACGACTTACTTTTAGCAAAAGATATAGTTTGTACAAATTTTGTGTCATACCAATAAGCTTGTGTAATGCACAAGCTATTTTTGAGCAGCTGCTGGAGTTTACATTCAACGAAGTGCAATTAGAAAGAAGTCTGATCTGAATCAAGAATGTTTTGGTGTTTGGCTGCAATTTGAAGTCTGCATTTGATATTCTAATACATTGAAAAAACAGGCTTGAAACTGAAACTAGAGAAGTGTTTACTTATACAAATGGAAGTGTAATTTCATAGTCACAGGGTGGGAAGAGATGAAATTTTCACAGACCCTGCTATGATAGCTGCAGTGAGAAATTGGCCTCAATCCATGACAAAGTAAGATATATGAAGTTTTCCTTCATTTTGCAACACACTACCAATGGTTTGTGGCCAACTACATGAAATATATCAGTACCACTCTTGATTCTTATGAAAATAGAAGAACATTTGGATGAAGAGAGGAATGTATTCAGGCATTCTGTTCATTAAAGCTTGCATTAGTGTATACTGTATACTCCATTGCTGACATATTCCGATCAAGACTCTGAGTTTCTCCTGGACACTAATGCTAGTAGCAATGACATCTGAGCAATATTATCATAGTTGCAGGACAGAATAAGGCAAGTAATCACATAAACTAGTCATATACTCACATTTTCCAAATCCAAATATTGCAAATTGAAGAAAGAGCTGCTCACTGTAATTGTAAACTCTATTGCCACTACTTATATAGTACGAAGTACATCACCCAAGTGTATCATGCTTTAATGAAGTGGTTAGTAAGCTTTAAAAATCCAGAAAGAATAACACTCTGGGACATACACTGCAATAATATGACTGCATAGTTCATTGTCTGGGCCTGCAACATGGTAACACCTATGAACTATCTCACTGCACAGTGAGACCTTGTTCTGTTTGTGTCTAGGATCAGGACATTCCACAGTGTAGGAGTTGAAGCCATGGCCATTTATAGGAAAAGCTTATCATAAGGTGGATGACTCCATCACAGGTAACACTTGAAGGACACTGATCTAGCATAGAATAAGCTCAACCAGAACCAGTAGAGGAGGTGCACATAACATTGAGAACATGTACAAGCAGTTACATGTACAAGAAGATGTGCCGAATCACTGCTATTAGCCTATGAGGTGTGGTGCCCTTTTATCATGCTACAGCTAGTACTTCATACAGTTCTGTGGCATGAAATACTCTGAACTTTGGACAACATAGAGATTAAAGGGTACCAAATTTTAACCCGTACTTCTACTAACATTTGACAGCAGTTCTTGTCATTAGTGAGTTGAAAAGTTTAATTCTGATATGAATGCTGTACAGTGTGCCACCCAGAGGAAAAAACTGACTAAAACTGGGTAAACTCCGACAGAGAATAGTTGGATCTCCTTTGCAGAGGATAGCCTTTGATATCATTAGTTCTCTCACAGAGACTGCAAGAAGTCATACTCAATGTTCAAAAATATTTCCCAAATTGAACTGAAGCTTATTCATTAATCAATACACCAACAAAGACAATCATGAATATGCTATCCAAGAAATGGATAGCATGACTTGGAGCACCTGAAGAAATCCACACAAAGTAGGGTGTTAATCCTTTCTCAACAGAAACTTCTTTAAATGCTTTTCTGCACAAGTCACTGAGTTACCTTCAAAATTTAATTAAACACCTTTAGTATCAAAATATGTGAATGAATTTAATATTATAACATAATATCATTCAAGTACAAAAATTAATATAAATTACTCACTATAAGATTGTCATTGCTCAGACAAACCATAATTTTTATAGCTTTCAATTTGTTTGGTTACAGAGCCGTCAAATAGAAAATCAGACCCCCTCTTGCCACACCCTCTCTTTCAGGATTTGTTAATAGCTTTCTCTCAC